TCCACTGTTTGGCTATTGTGAATTGTGCTATTATAAACATTAATGTGGCTGTGTCCCTGTAGTATGCTGTTTTAAAGTCCTTTGGGTATAGACCAAGGAGTGGGATAGCTGGGTCAAATGGTGGTTCTATTCTAAGTTTTTTAAGGAATCTCCATACTACTTTCCAGATTGGTTGCACCAACTTGCAGTCCTACCAGCAATGTTTGAGTGTGCCTTTTCCCCCACATCCTCGCCAGCACTTATTTCATTTCACTTTCTTGATGGTATCCTTTAAAGCACATTTAAGGTTTTTTCCTTAGATGAAGTCTAATTTGCCCTTTTTTTCCTTTTCTTATGCTTTTTTAAAAAATATTTATTTTTTAGTTTCAGGTGGACACAATATCTTTATTTTATATTTATGTGGTACAGAGGATCAAACCCAGTGCCTCATGCATGCTAGATGAGCACTCTACCACTGAGCTACAACCCCAGCCCCTCTTTGCTTATGCTTTTGATGTCATATCTAAGTAACCATTGCCTAATCCAAGATCATAAAAGATTTATTCCTGTTTTCTTCTAATAATTTTGTAGTATTAACTCTTACATTTATATCTATGGTCCATTTTGAGTTAATCTTGTTGTGAGATAAGGTTATAACTTCATTTGTTTTGCACATGGATAATCTAGCATGGTATCCCAGCACTTTTTGATAAGACTTTTTCCCACTATCATGGCACCATAGTCAAATCAATTAGCCATAAATGAAAGGGTTTATTTCCAGACTCTCAGCTGAGTTGCTTTGATCTATATGTTTAACCTTATTCTCTTGATGTCTCTAGCTTTGCAGAAAGTTTGGAAACCAGAAAATATGAGTCCTCCAAACCTGGTCTTTTTCAAGACTGTTTCTGCTATTTTGAGTCCCTTGAATTCCCATCTGAATCTTAGGATTTGCTTATGAATAACTGAAAAAGAATCCATCCATGATTTTTAGGATTATGTTGAATCTGTAGATGAATTTGGGGAGTTTTGCCACCTTAACAGTATTGAATCTTCCAACTTATGACAATGGAGTACCTTTACATTTATTTAGGTCTTCTTTACATTCTTTCAACATTTTTTTGTAGTTTTTGGAGTATAAGTCTTACATTTATTTTTTGTAACTTGTTCCTAAGTATTTGATTCTTTTGATACTATTGCAAATAGAATTGTTTTCTTAAGTTGACTTCTACATTATTCATTGCTACTATAGAAATATAGTTGGTTTTTGTATATATCCTGCAACATTGCTGAGTTTATTAATTTTCCAGTCTTTCCTCTTTAGGATTTTCCCATATACAAGACCATGTCATCTGTGAATATAAATATTTTATTTCTTCTGTTCCAATAAAAATGACTTTTATTTATTTTCTTCCCTAATTGCTCTAGTTAGAACTTCTAGTAAATTATTTAATAGAAATGGTAAGAGGAGAAATCCTTGTCTTGATATGAACTTAGAGGGGAAAGCATTCAGTCTTCTACCATTAAATATAATGTTAGCTATAAAGTTTTTCAGAGATGGTCTCTACCAAATTAAGGAAGTTCCCTTCTGTTCCTATTGTATCATGAAAAAAATGTTGATTCATCAAGTGTTTTTCTGAATCTATATAACTGATCATATGTTTTTGTCTTTTATTCTATTTTGATTTTTATATGTTAAACCAACCTTGAATTCTTGGGACAAATTCCACTCCATTATGCGTATTAATTCTTTTCATATGTTGATATATTCCATTTGTTAATATCTTATCTAGAAATTTTATATCAATCTTCATAAAGCTATAGGTTCTTTTCTTGTGATGTGTTTGGTTTTGGAATCAGGTTACTGACCTCATAAAATGAGTAATAATAATAATTTTTATTCCTCTTTCATATTTTAAGTTTGTGGAAGCTTGGTATTGATTTTTCTGTAAGCATTTAGTAAAATTCACCAGTGAAGTTATATAAGCCTGGTCTTTTCTTTGTGGGTAGTTTTTGATTACTTATTAAATCTCTTTAACTAGTTATAGGCTTATTTCTATTTCTGTTTCTTTTTTTAAATTTTTTTTATTTGTAGATGGACACAATATCTGTATTTTTATTTGTTTATTTTTATATGGTGCTGGGGACCGAATCCAGGGCCTCAGGCATGTAAGGCAAGCATTCTACCACTGAGCTACAACCCCCATCTATTTCTATTTCTTCTTGAGTCAGCTTCATTACTTTGTATCTTCCTAGGAATTTGTCCATTTCATCTAGGTCATCCTTTTTATTTTTCTAAGGCCAGTAGTGATATCCTATTTTATTCCTGATTTTAGACACTTGGGTGTTCTCTTTTTTCCCCACCTCAGTCATATAACTAAAGATTTGCTAATCTATTGATTTTACAAAGAACCAACTTTTGGTTTCACTGATTTTCTCTCATTTTTCTATTTCATTTATTTATGCTGTAATTTTTATTATTCCCTCACACTGCTTGCTTTGAGTTAACTTGGCTTTTTTTCCCCTAGTTTCTTAAGGTGGTAGGTTAGCTTATTGATTTGAGATCTTTCTTCCTTTGATTGTTTTCTTTTTAAAAATTTTTTATAGTTATAGATGGACAGTATGCCTTTATTTTATTTGTTTATTTTTATGTGGTGTTGAGGATCAAACCCAGTGCCTCATGCATGCTAGGCAAGCACTTGCCACTGAGCTACAGCCCCAACTCCTGTTTTCTTTTTTTTAAGAGTCCTGATGTCAAGCAATCCTCCTGGCTCAGCCTCCCAAAAAGCTGAGACTACAGGTGGTTGACACTATATCCAGCTATTTCTTTCTTTTTAATACTGATATTTACAATTATAAATTTCCTTCCTGGTTTAGATATATCCCATCAGTTTTGCTATGCTGGTGTTGTTCTTTTTTTTTTTTTTTTTCCCATTTTCATTCATCTCCAAATGTTTTCTAGAATTTATTTATTTGAATAAAATATTTTATTTAATTCAATACATCCAAAATAGTAACATCTCAATAGGTTATAAATACAAAAATATCAAGGAAATATTTTCCATTCTTTTTTCACATTAGTTCCCTGAAATTCAGTATTTTTTAAAGACAAATATGTTTGTTTTTTTAATACCTTTATTTTGTTTGTTTATTTTTATGTAGTGCTGAGGATTGAACCCAGTGCCTCACACGTGTGAGGCAAGCACTCTACTGCTGAGCCACAATCCCAGCCCCTGGAATTCAGTATTTTAAACTAAAGAATTCATCTCAATTCAGATCCTAAGTTTTCATCAGAGCTATTTTATTTGTATTTAGAGTCCATGAAATTTGTAGATAAAAAATAAACCCAAGTTGTTCCAGACATACTACTAAAAATTTTTCAATAACTGAATCAAGTATCAGTTTTTAAATTTAAATTAATAAAACTTAAAATCTAATTCCTCAGTTAAACTATCCACATTTCAAGTGCTTGATAGCCACTGTATTGGACAGTGCAGCTCAGAAACTCTTCCACCATTTTTAATCCACACAATACTCCTAAGAAATAGTTATTCTTTTTTAAAAAATATTTACTTATTTATTTTAGTTTTAGGTGGACACAATATCTTTGTTTTATTTTATATGGTGCTGAGAAATGAACCCAGTGCCTCACGCATGCTAAGCAAGTGCGCTACCACTTCAGCTATATCTCCAGCCCCGGAAATAGGTATTCTTATTTCCCATCTTGCAATTGGTGAGCTCAAGGAACTTTCCCAAGTTTCACAACCAGACAGGGGATAAACCAATGTGTTCCATCTTGTCACTGGGAAATGGGCCTTGGTAATTAACTGTATTATTGGGGTCACAAAAATTGCACCCAAAGCTGGTTGGTCTTTGACACAGAACTACAGAACATATTCCTAAGCTTTCCGTAATTTTTTACCCCACAGAGAAAGATGGACGCAGAAGCCTTGGCATTAGTACTAATGAGCAGAAGAAGACTGAGGCCAGTTCCCCACCATCTCTGTTATTTTTCTGAGTATCCTAATCTAACAGTTAGATGCCAATTAGGAAAAATGGTCAGAAGGAGCAAAGCACAGCCCTACAGATGCATCAAACCACTTCCCATCTTCTACATTGAAATTCTTTCCCTTCTTGAAATGAGTTGTAGAGAAACACCTCATGTTTGTCCAATGGAATGGAAAATCACAGAAATTTATTTAACTACCATCCAAGGACTTTGCCTGGGACTTTATGTACATGTCACACCAAGAACACTCCTCAGGGGACAAATGAAAGTGTAATACGTTTATTCAATGGAGTATCACATGGCCCTTAAAAAGAATGGGGAAAGATGTCTACTCTGTATTGTTGAATTTAAGTAAGTAAGCTTAAGCCAGGCATGGTGGCACATGCGTATAATCCCCATTACTTGGGAGGCTAAAGCAGGAAGATTGCAAGTTCAAGGTGAGCTTCAGCAATTTAGTGAGATCCTGTCTCAAAATTACAAAACAAAAAAATTTAAAAGGCTGGAGATATAGCTCTGTGATAGGGGTAGAATACCCCTGGATTTAGTCCCCAATACCACCTCTGCAAAAAAAAAAAAAAGGAAGCTCAAAACCAAGATACATTATATGATCCCTTGTATATTTATAGGTTTGTGTATCATGCCATGTTGCTCATAGAGAGCTCTCAGTGTGGAATGGGAAGAACTTCTATACTGTGTATTTGATACACATTTAGAATATGTAACCTTTTGAACTTTAAAAAAATTAATCTTAAAGATATTTTTAAAGAAAAAAGTTATTGTCTCATTTAATCTTCAAATAATACTTAAAAAGATACAACTATCCACAAATTACAGATGGAAAAACTGAGGCTCAAGAAGTTGACATGACTAGTCTTCTCTAGGCTCCAGAACTAGAAAATAGGGGAGCCAGAAAGGGAAACCAGGATTATCTATTAACAGAGCTCTCAGTGATGGGATGGGAGTACATCAGAGGTTCAAGAACTGGGCTCCCACCTACCACATCCCTAGAACTTACCTTGAGGTCTAGGTGCAGAATGTAGTGCTGGTGGAGGTAATGCACACCCTCGCAGATCTGCTTGATGAACAAGACCACGTCCAGTTCAGTCAGATGGTACTTTTCATCTGTGATCCGGTCAAAGAGTTCACCCCCATCCACACTAGCAGAGGAAAGGGAGAGGCAGGCAGGTAAATGAGCAAAGCTCTCATAGGATTTGCCCACTTTTTTGCCAAGGACCAAAAGACAATGGCCTAGGAGAACTCAAAGTTGGCTGTATCCCATGGATCACAGGGCTACTGCCACTGCCATCTGAGTTTTCTGGAATACCTGTGTTCTAGCCCATTCCTAGTAAAAAGTATGGGATGGTCTTCCAGATTGATAATCCCTGACTCTGAATAATCTAAATCAGGGCTGCAAACTCTTCTACTTAGTGGGGAGCCAACTAGTACCTAAGTGGCAAGAAGCCTTAATGGGCAAATTTGACCATATGTGAGATAAAAGTTTTATGAAAACACACAATCCTTAGTCTTTTATTTTTCTTTTGAGAGAGACACGATATGACAAATGATTTGCTCTCCTCAGCCCTGCTGAAAGCAAAACAACAACATGAGCCTAATCCTAAATGGCCTCTGAGACCACAACTTCAATGCCCAGGGTAGTGGGAAATGGTAGGCATTGTGGCAAATCCTGTCCACAAATGGCAGTCACTGAGAGCTCCAGCTCACCGTTTCCAGCAAGGAATGCAGGCCAAGCATTACTAGACTCTTTTCGTTTTCAAGAAAAGCCAGATATCTAGATTTTCCAATTTCTATTACCTAAATTTCCCAAAGTAAATAATTCATTCAAAATCACCAAAAACTCTTTAGGCCAAACTGACAAAATATCTGCAAGTTAAATCAGGCTCAGTAGCCACTTGTTTGTAACAAAATGGCTTTGTCCTCCACGCCCCACTTGGGGTTCAAGTAGCCAAGCCAGAAAAAAGGGGGATTGCATGGTCGTCTGTGTCCCAGTGAGGGGAGGAGAGACAAAGAGCCTTGCTTAGAATGAACAAAGGCTCTGAGTTCCAACCTTGCACCTAACCTGAGGAGAAGCCACTGCCCCGTGTCTATGACACTTACTACTCCATGACCAGGGTAAAGCTGTTCTTGCTCTCAAAGGCATCATAGAGTTGGATTAAGTTCACATGGCTGAGCTGGTTCATGATGTTGATCTCATTCTTCACATCCTCCTTGTGGAACCAGAGGAGAAAGAATTTACAAGCAAATAAGTCAGGAAGAGGAGAGAGTTGTACCTCCCAAGACAGACAGACACACAGACAGACATATACCCCTCATCCTTTTTGAAAAATATCCTATTGTCACCCCAGGTCTCCTTGCCTCACCATCCAAACCAGGGTTTTGCAACAGGAAGGACCTTAATTTATTCACCCATTTCAAAAGATACTAAACCCAAGGCCCAAGAATTAATGAGCCTTATTGCCCAGGGTCCCACAGGCCTCTTGGCAGAAGCCATGCCACGATACCCACATGTAGGCAGGTGTGTCTGGACTGAGGAGTGTGAGGTGACCTGCTGAGTGGAATATAGGAGTCATAAGAAAAAGGCAGGAAAGGCAGCAGCTTCTCTGTTCAGTATGGAGGGGCAATGTGGGTGCAGGGGGCTGTGAAGGAAGTGAGGGAGTCCTAAGCTTGGCTAGAAGGATCTGCTGGCTCAGGGCAGATGCCTCACCCGGTCTTTAGCATTCTTCACTTTGATGATCTTGGCGGCCAGTGGGAGATCTGTGGACTTCTCTGTGCACTTGTGAACCTGGCCAAACCGGCCCCTACAGAAACATGAACACAGCAGGCTGAGAGTACAAGAAGCTCACCCCATACGTGGTAGGCCACCTGTCCCCTGAGCTTCCTGGTCCTACTCCTTCCTCCACACACACACCATTTGCACTATCCTAGTCATAGGCCCCACACCACATGGGCTACCCTGACATCTAGAAAATGACCTCATGACCCCCACTATATGGTCTACACTACACCCTAAGGGAAAACCTCCCTGCACCCCAGGGAACATGCCTCTCACCACTCCATACCACAAGAGCTATCCTGCACCAAAGAGAGTATACTCACTGCACCTATGTTGGATCTCCTTCCAACTCCAAGATGCTCCCATATCGTACCACATGGGTCCCCCTGCACTTCCCCTCATCTATACCATGTGGGCATCCTGCACTCTAGGGATAGTCTCTTCACCCCATTCTCATGCTCTAAAGGATATCCCATTCCTGGCTTTGGTTCAATTAACCAGTTCCTGAGAATTACCTAGCAGTACCCCAGCTCATTCTCCAAGTGGTTCTGCCCTGCTATTCCTCCTCCCACCCCTTATCAAAGCAGACAGCCCACCTACCCTCCCAAGACTTCATGCTGGCACACCGTGTAACCTGCTGAGATCGAGGTCTCCTTGACACTCACCACCCGGTGTTCAAAAGGTGCTGGTGGAGCTGGGCTGTCATCTGTTTAGGAAACAAGAGACCTGTGAGTTTCCTATATGCAGCCACCCATCCCAGACCCACTTAATTACATTTGGTTTACCAGGTGACAAGCCCTTTGCCTTTCCTATAACCCAAGGATTTGAAAGCCCCTTCTCAAGAATAATCTCACTGGAGCCACCCATTTGGCAGAGGAGGAAGATGAGTCTCAAAGAGGTGAGGGGACTGGTCCAAGATTACACAGGGTAACAGTGATAGGAGGCAAACTCAAGTCTCCTGGCCACTAGGACAGTGCTGTTTGCAAGGTCAAGACATTTTGGCAGCCTTCTCATGAGGTCTAGAAGGGGAATCCTGGATGGGTTAGTGCAAGCCTGCAGGAAACAGTGCATACTGGAAAGGTTGAGCTTGCAGAGTTTAAGGAGGAGACTATTTTTAAAGCAAAAGAGGGCTACAGAGATCAGAAAAGGTGGTACGATAGGGAGGCAGCTGTAGAAATAAACACCCCATCCTTTCTCTTCTCTCACCTTCAGCTGATCCTAACCAAAGGCCAGACAGCCTGCAATGGAGCCCATAAGAGGCAGCTCCAAGGGCACAGGTGGATCTGGAGGAGAAATAAAGGATAGCCTATACTTGGAAAGATCAAAACTAATGACTTAGGGTTTTCTTGTCCTTCAGAGGTGACAGGAATACCTAGAAATGTTTCATGAAATAGAGTAAAGAAATAAAACAGAATCCAGAATATACATCAAACACAATAACATAAACCAGTTTGTACATGAAGGGCTGGAAGATGCTGAGGCAGGAGGTCAGGGGCTTGGGTTGGCATTTGTTTAGAGCTTGTCATAGGAGAATGCTGCTGGTTCTCTGGCTGCAGGGATCACTCACAATATTCCACAAACTCTGACAAAGGAAGATGATCCCAGAGATGGAGGGGTTTAGAGCCTCGGGGTCACAAGAACACAAGGATGCCTCCCACCACCCTGGGATGGTAAGCAGGTCATCAGTCCTAATACCTCCTCCTTGTCCTGAAGAAAATCAGCTTCCTGGTCACAAATGGCCAATGATTGTTATATGTACCAGTTAATGTCATCTTTTTTTTTTTTTTTTTTGACAGGAGACTTCCCTGTCTCAAACCAAAGTAATACCAATGGTGAAAGCTCAGGCAGCAGGTGGTTTTGAGAAATATACCAAGATGGGCCACATGGGTCCCTCCTACCCTAATACCAAGCTGATCAGAGTTTTCAGTCTTTCTGTCTCTGTGCCTTGGTGTCCAACCCCAGGATGGATAAGTAGGCTGTTCTCAAGTCTTGGACTCTCCCAGACCTGCTAAATCAACCCTGAAAGCTGCAGAAAGCAGCCCCAGGAATATAACCTCCCAATCCACTCACTTCTGGCCTTGTGTCAAGTCAGGCAGCAGCCTCACTTACCCAGAACTAGGCTGCCAGCCCCATCATCTGGGGGTGTCCTCCTTCCTGTTTCAGTTCTTGGAGTGACCCCAGCTGCACAGTCATTCCCAGGCTCAGGATGTCCTGCTCCTAAGCTTTTGTCCTGCTGCAGGGCTGAGGTCCCAGCAGGGTCATCTCCCTTGTCCCTCCTGGTGAAGCTTGATCCGGTGGCAGGCTCAGCCACAGGCCCTTGCTTCTCCTCATCATCTGCTCCCGCCTCGCTGCTTCTCTTCTGCAGTGGGGTAAACTCTTTGGCTTCTTTGGGGTTTTGTTCTCCCAGCTCAGTCTCAGGAGCTTCAGAGCAGCACCTGGGCCCAGGCAAGTCCTGCTCACTGGGATAAGCAGCTGCTGGAACCTCTATAGGGGGAGTGGGTCTGAGGCTGCCCCCTCGTGTCACAAGAAGTTCCCCGGGAGTATCCATCTCTTGCACGTGGATGGAGATTCTGAAGCAGAGAGAAATATGGCCCTGAGATTAAAAGCAAAGACTCCATAGTTAGTACAAACCTGGGTTCAAAGGCCTACTGCTGCCACTTACTGACAGTGGCCTCTTGGCTTCAATTTTATCATCTGTAAAATTAGAAATTTAGGGCTTGTGGTGGGAGACTCCAACTCCTGCCTCCTTGGAGACCTGACCACCACTGCCCAGACAGGACATCAGGAGAAATAAAAGTAGAATTACTCTATGTTCCAGCAGTTCCACTTTGGGGTATATATCCAAAAGAATTGAAGCCCATATTTATAGCAATTTTATTCACAACAATCAAGAAGTGGAACAACCCAAATGTCCACTGATGGGTCAAAGGATAAACAAAATGTGGGAAAGACAAACAGTGGAATATTATTCAGCCTTTTAAAAAGGAAGGAAATTCTGACACCTGGTACAAAACAAATGAACCTTGGGGATAATATATGAAGTAAAATAAGCCAGTCACACAAGGACAAATGATGTATGATGTCATTGATATGAGATTAAAAAGAGTAGTCAAGTATATAGAGATAGGAAGTAGAAGAGCAGTTGCCAGGGGCAGGGGGAATGGGAGTGGGAAATGGGGAGTTGTTTAATGGGTACAGAACTTCAGTTTGCAAGAAGGAAATGTTCTGGAGATCTATTTCCCAACTCTGTGAACACATACAACACTATGGAACTGTTCACTTAAAATTAGTCAAGATGGGCTGGGAGAGTAGCTCAGTGTTAGAGCACCTGACTGGCATGTGCAAGGATCTGGGTTCCATTCCCAACACTGGGGGAAAAAAAGTTAAAATGGTAAAATTTTTGGTATGTATTTTTCTCACAATGAAAAATAAATAATGAGGCCTTTCTCTAGCAACTGCTGGCCTACCTCCACTGAGCTGCTGGTCCTGTGAGGGCAGTGCCTGACCTGGGTGGGTTGTCTGAGAAACTTGGCAGCCTGTTCATAGCGAAGCACTGGGCAGGAGGAATAGAAATCCTTCCAAAACTGTGTCCTGTGGGACTATGTGTGGGTCAGTGATGAAGGGTAGGTTGGGAAGGATGGCATCTAAGCTAAGCCACCCCAAACCTAGCCTAGGTCAAGGGACATGGGAACCTGTGACTTGTCAGTTGCAAGAGGAGTATCCAGGTAGTCAGTCGACAAGGTCAGCAATCACCACTCCCTCTTATGTCTTCCCTTACAGAAGGACAGAGGATGACCCTAAAACCACTGCCATGCAGTGCCAGGTCATTTTGCGTGTCCCAAACTTTCTCATCTACTGTCTGGCACACCCATGGCAGGCATTTTTAATTAACTGCAATATTCTGTACCACCAAGTTCAGATACTGCCTCAGGATGTACTGCATGCACGACTACACAGCAGCCCCTACAAATCACAGTTGATGCGTGACTTCCAATCTATTGTCCTCAAAATATATTCTTGTGCTAGGGGAAGAAGGACAGGTAGTGACCTCCCCACTACCTGAGACCCGCTGTAAATCCAGTATGCTTGAAGTTCAGCTCGGGGCTGAAACTGAGATACAGATCTTTTCTTCTCACTCAGAATGGCTTTGGGCCTCTACCAAGTTCATGGAAAGTTCACCCCCAGCCCTAGATACCATATTTATGGCCCTGGCCTGAATCCAAGAATGCCTGCCTGGAATCCCTCCCTGGGGCTATCAGGTCTCCTGGGAGGCTCCCATTTCCTTCCAGAACAAAAGCAGACAAATGATCTGGACTTCTCTGCCAGTCACCACAGCAAACACAAACCAGGCTTCCTTCAGGTTTGTGGTCAGGCCTTGGGGTCTCAGTTTTAGGTCAGGGCAGCCCAGGGCAATCACAAAGGGATGAAGTTCATCTGAGAGAAACTTGCAATGCCCAGAAGAGGCTGCTTGGGGATGTGAATGTGCCATCCCACAAAGATGACAAATACAGGCCTGGGGACAGGGGTTGGGAGTCAGCAGGTTCTTCATTCTCCCACACTGTCTGCTGAGCATGGTCAGAGGCCATGTTCTAAGGGTCAGGGTGGCTGCCATAACTCCACTTCCAGACCCCTACCACAATCCTCCTGAAAGCCTCTGGGTTAACAGCCTGCTTTGATAGATTTTTCAACATTTGAAAAGATAGATAGACTTTTCAACATTTGTTAATGGTGCTGCCAAAACTGGAAATCCATATGTAACAAAATTAAATTAAGCCTCTCTCTCTCACCCTGTACAAAACTCAACTCAAAGTGATCAAGGACCTAGTTATTAGACCAGACTCTGCAACTACTAGAAGAAAATGTAGGCCGAAATCTCCATTATGTCAGCTTAGGAAGTGAAATCCTCAACGATACTCCTAAAGTGCAAGAAGTAAAATCAAGAAATCAATAAATGTGATGGTATCAAAATAAAAAGCTTCTCAATAGCAAAGGAAACAATCAAGAACATGAAGATAGAACCTACAGAATGGGAGAAAATCTTTGCCACCTGTACCTCAGAGCATTAATCTCCAGGACATATAAAGAACTCAAGCCAGCGGCTCTGGAGGCTGAAGCAGGAGGATTGAGAGTTCAAAGCCAACCTCAGCAAAAGCAAGGTGCTAAGTAACTCAGGGAGACTCTGTCTCTAAATAAAATACAAAATAGGGCTGGGGATGTGGCTCAGTGGTCAAGTGCCCCTAAGTTCAATCCCCAGTACCAAAAAAAAAAAAGAACTCAAAAAACCTAACACCAAAGAAACAAATAACTCAATTAATAAATGGGCAAAGGAACTGAATAGGCACTTCACAGAAGAAGAAATACGATCAGTTAATATATGAAAAAAATGTTAAACATCCCCAGCAATTAGAGAAATGCAAATTAAAACTACATTGAGATTTAATCTCACTCCAGTCAGAATAGCCAACAATAAATGTTGGCAAGGATGTGGGGGAAAAGGTACACTCATACACTGCTGGTGGGACTGCAAATTGGTGCAACCGCTTTGGAAAGTAGTATGGAGATTCCTCAGAAAACTTGGAATGGAACCACCATTTGACCCAGTTATCTCACTCCTTGGGAGATACTCAAAGGACTTGAAATCAGCATACTACAGTGACACAGCCACTTCAATGTTTATAGCAGCTCAGTTCACAACAGCTAAGCTATGGAACCAACCTAGGTGCCCTTAAACAGATGAATGGATAAAGAATGACACACACACACACACACACACACACACACACACAGGAATATTACTCAGCCATAAAGAAGAATGAAATTATGGCATTTGTCGGTAAATGGATGGATCTGGAGACTGTCGTGCTAAGTGAAATAAGCCAATCCAAAAAAATACAAAGCCGAAAGTTCTTTCTGATATGTAGATGTTAACACACAATAAGGAAGGGGAGAGAGGAATAGAAGTTCACTGGATTAGACAAAGAAGACTGAAAGGAAGGGAGGGAGTGGGAACAGGAAAGACAGAATGAACTGGACTTAACTTTCATATGTTCGTATATGAATACACAACTAGTTTAACTCCACATCATGTACAACCACAAGAATGGGATCTAGTTAGAATAAGTAATGCTCTGTGTATGAATAATATATAAAAGAAAAAACACTCTACTGTCATGTATAGCTAAAAAGAACAAATTAAAACAAAAACTATGCCTAAGACTCATTCCAGAATCATTGACTCAGAATTTCTGGGCATTGGTATTTTTAAAATCTCCAGATAACTATAGGGGCAGCAGGTGACAACCAGTGCTTTAATCTTCCAAAAACCACAGGGTCTTCCCCTCAGCAAGCTAGTCTAGCTCTAGGCATACAGTGGTCATTCAGCATGTGTCACTGGCCCATTGCCATGCTGCCACTGAGGGATTGTAGTTAATTCTACCCGCTGCCCAGCACAGAAGAGCAACCCTTACCTTAGCGGAGATTCTCCACCACTGTGAGCTGCCCTGGAGAGAGCTGGTGCCCTTGGGGGCTCAGAACCGGGCCCTGAAGTCAACCATAAGACTTCTTCTGAGGACTGAGGATCAAGCTTGCTGGATGATGTTCCTTGTCCTGTACTTGGTGTCACATCCTGGCTGGTGGGGGCCTTGGTGACCCTGTTAGATGCTGCAGACAATTCCAGGCGAGTCCCAGGGTTCTCACTGGATGTCTCAGGATCTTTGGCTTCAACCTCTGTGGGCAGCAGCAAGTGGCCAAGAGGTACCTGGCCTGGGCCAGGAACCCCATCCACTTGCCCAGGTGAGGCCCCTGCCTGGGAGACGAGGTCAGCACCCATTCCTGAAGTGCTGAAGGAGGGCAGCCTCTCCACTGTCCTCTCTGACAGGTCGGCCTTCTGGCTCTCTACAGGAAAACAGGCAGGGTAAAGATATAGTCCCATTTGGAGGTGTCTGTCACAAAAGACACTGCAAAGTATGTGCACCAGGCCATTCAGTTTAGCCGAAGGCTGGAGATAAAGACCATCAGGAGGTTGTGTGAACCATGGAACATCCACACAATGGAGTGTTGCACCAAAAAAAAAAAAAAAAGCTAGAGAGTAATCTCAGGATGTTCTGAAAGTAAAAAGAAGCAAGGTGGAGAACAGTGTGTAGGGAAGCCTCTTTACCTAAGGGAGAATGTGTTTGTGTGTGGGTGATTGTGTGTGTGTGTGTGTGTGTATGTATGTGCGCACTTGCAATGTGGTCTAAGTAAACCAGAGTTCAAAAGAAAAAATGATTTTTAAAAAATATTTATTTAGTTAGTTAGTTAGTTGTAGTTGGACACAATTCCTTTATTTTATTTATTTATTTCTATGTGGTGCTGAGGATCGAGCCCAGGGCTTCGCACATGCCAGGTGAGCACTCTACCACCGAGCCACAACCCCAGCCCGAGATAAAAGATCTTTAAACGATTATGTATAGAGAGAGAAAACAATGTTTAAGAACAAAAGTAAAACCAAACTCCTCTCAATATACCTTGTTTTGTTGATTTGACTTTGAAACCATGTAAATATTATGGGATTTTCTAAAGAAAATTGAACTTTTAAAAAAGCAATCCATAAAAATTTAATGCAAAATGAAATTTTTAAAACGTGATTATCAAGTTGGTGGTATAGTACACAGATAGGAGTGATTTCAATTTTAAGAAGTGATTTCATTTTTATTTTGCTTGTTTTGCCCAGTCTGATCCCAAACTTCTGGGCACAAGCCTCTCCTTCTGCCTCAGCTACCAAAGTAGCTGGGACAACAGGCAAGTGCCACCACACCCAGCTCCAAGTCAAAACATTACAATTGAGCTGGGCATGGTAGCACACACCTATACACCCAGCGTCTGGGTAGGCTGAAGCAGGAGGATAGCAAGTTCAAGACCCTAAGCAACTTGGCAAGACACTGTTTCAAAATAAAAAGATAAAAAATAACCTGGGGACATGTGAATGTGGATCTGTGGTTGAACACCCCTGGCACCAAAAAAAATAAAACCTATTTCAATTGACTATATCCATCTGTAGTGGGATATATATGTGTGTGTATATAATTTATATATATATATATATATATGAACGACAAAGAACTGTGCATAAGACAAAACAGCTTCGACAGTTTCTCGGTAATCACAATGTGGGTGATACTGTCAATATTTTCATTATGAACGCACTGTGTGTTCAATGTGGGAGGAAGCAAATGGGCCCACTTACCTTCCCAAGGCCCCCTGATGTCAGCTTGCACACCCCTGGTACTCAACGCATGCTTTGGTTTTGTTCCCTTCTCTTCCACTTGCTCTTTGTTCTAAAATAATAATCATAAAAACCATCATCTTTATCATCAACATCCTCTTTCAGGCCACAAACTTTTATTAACCACCTACCACATACTTAAGATAAAGTACAAGGTACTAAGGTTATTTGGCATAGTCTCACAGTAATCTTAGAATACTGCTTATCATCATTTTAGAGATAAGACACTGAAGCCTTCCCAAGGTCATGAAATTTAAAAGAGGAGGAGCTTAGTTTCAAATCCAGAACTGAAGTCTTTTTTTAAGACTTCGCTATATTGCTAGTGGGGGGTGGGCCCAACCCCCAACCCTTGGCCGAGGGTTTTAAATAGACCAAACCTCAAAGGACTTAGACCAAGGATAGAAACAAACTTAAAACATCAATTCAGATCAATTGTTTCTGGCTAGTACACTGTTGGTTTAGATTGGGTTCTAAAGTCAAACCCATGCTTAGTAGGGAGGAAGCACCACAGTGAATCTGCCTGGGAATTCCATGGTCATCCCCATCCCCCTCTCTAGGAGCAGGAACACAGACTCTCAAGGTAGCTTTGCTGGATTTGAACCCCATCTTCACCACTTGGCTGTGCTCCTTGACTTCTCTGCATCTCACTTTTCTCATCTGCAAAATGGGGATATTATCTGCTTCAGAGAGTCAGGGAGGATTAGGAGAGTTAATTTGTGGAATATTGGAGAAGTGTAATCAATACATAGCATTGCTCAGTAGTTCTAGTGATTCCATCCTGCCTGAGCCAAAAGCCATCATGTCAAATGACACATTGAATAAGGATAGTTGGTCCTGGCCCAGAAGCACTCCCTGCAGCTTTTCCTTATATCTGAAATCTGCCCAAGACCAGTGCATGAGGCCCCTATGTTTGCAGTTCTGAAACAGCCTGCAGCACAGTCCAGCCATGAGCTCTCAAGCAAATATCTCTACATGCTCTGACCTCTTGACAGGCCCACCTGGTGCTTTCAGGGAATTGGAACCACTGATTGACAAGTCCCTAATATGACTCCTGGTACAGGTCACAGCCCTGGTCATAGCCTGGGTTGTGCCATGAGGCACAAGACACTCTAGTAAAGGGTCTTCCCTGCCTTGGAGGTTCTTAACTGCTCAGAGGTCAAAAACAGCTCAGGATACATTAGGCTTGTGCAGCATTTAAATTTTTTTAATTCAAGCCAAGTGCGTGCTTACATGCCTATAATCCCAGGGACTTGGGAAGCTGAGGCAGGAGGATCTCAAGTTCAAGGCCAACATCAGCAACTTAAAGAGACCCTCACCAGGGGCTGGAGTTGTGGCTCAGTGGTAGAGTACTCACCCGTCACGTGCAAGGCCCTGGATTCGATCTTCAGTACCACATAAACATAAATAAATAAATTAAAAATATTGTGTTCAACTACAACTAAAACATAAATGTTAAAAAAAAAAAAAAAAGAGGCCCTCACCAATTTAGCAAGACCCTTTCTCAAAATAAAGAGGACTGGGGATGTGGGTTCAATTCCTGATTTTAAAAAATTATTTTTGTTTCTAACATTTAATCTAATTAAAATTATGTAGGATTCCTTTAGAGTTGATAAAATTGTTTCACATACATATACACGTACATGCACACTGTTTTATTCATTTATTTTTTTCTCCCACAGTGCTAGATTTGAACCCAGGATCTCATACATGCTAGGCAAGCTTTCTACCACTGAGCTATAATCAGCCCAACTGGTCTATATTTTGAGAGTAGAGTTGGTTTCCTTGGTAGATACATTTGTTGACTGTATATTTAAACTGTGCATAGTTTGTGTGTGTAAGTTTATTGCACCTAATAAAATAATTATTATTTAATTATTATGCCTTAATAAAACTGATTAGGAAAAAATTCTAGGTTCCCAGCTTCTTTTAAAAAAATATTGGGGGCTGAGGATGTGGCTCAAGCGGTAACACGCTTGCCTGGCATGCGCGGGGTGCTGGGTTCGATCCTCAGCACCACATAAAAATAAAATAAAGATGTTGTGTCCACTGAAAACTAAAAAATAAATATTAAAAAATTCTCTAAAAAAAAAAAAATATTGGAAGATCTGGCAACTCTAGGCCCAAAGGGCAAAAACTGGCATGGGCAATTCCCTCTAACTCTTCCAAATGTCTCCCTGCTCCTAGGGTAAGTGTTGGTTCCACTGTTTTTCCTATACCGTATCCACTTCTCTCAATTCTGTTACCTGTTCACTCCTTCAGGATTTCAGGACACCAAGTTTTGTCCTTTTAATGGTAAGTACATAGCCCAGCACCTGACATGTGGTAAGCACTTAATAAAAAAATTGCTAAGCTGCTATTACCATCATCACCAACGTCATCAATGTGGCCCAGAACCTCTGCTGAACAGATAACTCTCCTTATCCCTTTTCTACAGACTCTGTCCTAACACCCATGTAGCTGGGGAAACTAGAGGCATTATCACAGATCTCCTCTTGTTTCACCCCACCAATAGAAAGAGACCTGTACACACTGTCCTTTGGCAGACCTTGTTGGGCTCAAATCGTCCTCTCCCTCCCTCCGTCTTTAGCGTAGGCAAACATGTGCGCATGCATCTGCACCCACACACATACAACCACAGCTGGCTTCTGTCTTTAGGACTCAACGTTCTGGTCCCTACCTTGTCTGTTCAACCAGAAAAAAAACATTAGCGACCTCAGGTACCATTCTAGGGGACTGAAGCACATGAACAGCTTGACCACGTGATTCAGGAATACTCCTGGCTGAGCCTGAAGCTGTCTTCCCTGAGAGAGCACCTGGCTTCTAGTAATAATCTAATTCATTGCTACAATCAAATGAAGTGCTACTGAGAACTTCAAAAGATTTGTGGAAGACCTTTACAAAGTCCTGGCATAATTTTCAAATTTAACAGCCAATGCCAGGATTTAATTAAATTCCACATATGATTACTATGCTCCTAGGCTCTTAGGAAACACAAAGAGGGTCTTCAGAAAGTCTCCATAATGCAGTTGTCAGCACTGACAATGTGTTAAGTAGCTGTGTCTGTGTCTCTGTTCACTCCAAACACTTCCTGTAAGACCACCCCTGGGAAGTAGAAGCTTCAGGGTAATGGACAGATCAGTAGCTGACATTCCCATTGGGAGGCTGGACCTACATTTGTAGATAGTTATTAATATGTGTATTAAATACAAGGATCAGAGAAAGGCCAATCTAGTGCCAGTGGGGCAAAAAAGACAAATGTTGCAAGAAGTTAGAAAAAAATTCTGTGACATCCCCCCATCCAGAAATGACTAATATTTACAACATGTAAATAAATAATAAAAAGGCAGAAAAACAAAACAGAAAAGAACAAAAAGGACATGAACAGGCATTTCACTGAAAATACAAGGTTTTTAAACATAAGAACAATGTTTACTCTTTTAGTAAAAGAAATACAGAATAAAACCATAAGATATAACATTCTGTCTACTTTTGGTTATGTTTGAAATTCTCCTTAATAAAAAGTTTGAAATCATTTTATGAATTCAAAAAGAGCAGTTAGCTTTAAGAAACATATAACCAATCACTTTTCTTGAATATGCTTCAAATAAACCATTAAAAATTTAAAATTGTAATATAATCTGGGTTGGGGTTATAGCTCAGTGGTAGAGCACTCGCCTATCATGTGCCAGGCCCTGGGTTCCATCCTCAGCAACACATAAAAATAAATAAATAAAATAAAGGTATTGTGTTCAACTACAACTAAAAAATAAAATATTTTTTAAAAATTATAATCAGGAGTCTTTGAATACTGACTTTGGAAATATTACCAAAGTCATATTCAAAGTATAGTATTGTAATTATGCTTTTACAATAGTCCTTATCGTTTAGATATAAATGCTGAAACATTTATGAGAGACATTGTTCAATGTCTCATATTTGCTTCAAAAGTAATCTGGAGGGGCTTGGGTTGTGGCTCAGTGGTAGAGCACTTGCCTAGTATGTGTAAGGCACTGAGTTTGATTCTCAGCACCACAAACAAATAAATAATTAAAATTAAAGGTTTATCCACAACCAAAAATATATATACTAAAAAAGAGAAAAAAGTAATCTGGAGAGATAAAATGGGTGGGGAATCCATGAACTAACATTGATTTCCTATTGATGGCTAAAGCCAAGAGATGAACTCACAGGTCATTATCCAACTGGTCTTCTGTATCCATGGGTTCTACTATGAGCACTTAATCAAACTCATATTGAAAATATTCAGGAAAAATTTGCATCTGTACTGAACAGGTACAGATATTTTTTTCTTGTCATTATTATTAACTGGTCCTATATCCTTGTTTCTTTAAACCAGATAGTATAACAACGATTTAAATAGCACTTATTAAGTATTATAAGTAATCTTGAGATGATTTAAAGAATACAAGAGGATATACATAGGTTATATGGAAATATTATGTTATTTTATATAAGAAAGTTGAGCATCTGAAGATTTTGGTTTCCAAGGGGTTCCTGGAACCAATCCCTCATGGATACTAAGATATGACTGTAATAATCTCTATTTTTATAAATATCTAAAGTTTTTCATACTAAAATATTCAAAAACATGCACATAGTAAGATCTCATTTTGGGGGCTGGGGGTTGTGACTCAGTGGTACAGCATTTGCCTGGTAGGTTCGATCCTCAGTACCATAAATAAATAAATAAATAAATAAATAGTATCCATCCTCAACTAAAAAAGTATTTTTTAAAAATCTGATTTTTTTAGTCATCAGAGAGAAAAAGAATCAAAAAGTTGGGTAATATGCTGTGTTAGCCAATGTAGCATCAATAAGCATTCCCATATGTTGTGGGAAAAGACTAAATTGTTGGTTTTTGTTTGTTTTTTGGTGGTGTTGGGGATTGAACCCAGGGCCTTGTGCATGTGAGATAAGCACTCTACCAACTGAGCTATATCCCCAGACCTAAGACTAAATTAGAATAAATTCTTTGAAGATCAGTTTGACTTTATTGATACAAATTTACCCTTCACTACTAGCAGTGTATCATACCGATAAACTCACACTTGTATTCAAAGACATACATCTATGGATAGTCACTACATCATTATTTATCATAGTTAAAAATCAGAAAAAAATATAAAGAAACAAGGATATAGGACCAGTTAACAAATTAAGACATATTCCTCCAAAATGGAGTACTCTGCAGCTTTAAGAAATAAGCACAAGGAAATTTTCTAGGCCCAGATATAAAACAATGCCCCAATTACATTAAGATTTAATGTGAACATTACATTAAATAAAATACATTAAGATTTAATGTATTTAATATATCAAGGCCAGATCAAAGTGAATAACATTTGGGAGAAAACAAAACAAAAAACTGAAGGTGAGGTTTATAGGCAGACCCCATATCTAAAAGGACTAAAAAGAAACTGGTACTTGTGATTGCTTACAGAGGTGAGGGGAGTTGTTCTGGGGACTCGGAGATTGAATAGGAGGGAAATATATACTCTTTATACTATATGAGCAGTCTCCTGTTTTTGTTTTTGTTTGTTTGTTTGGTTGGTTGGTTGGTTTGGTTCGGCTTGGATTTTGAGGGTATGGGGAGTTGGTGTGCTGGGGATTGAACCCAGGAACTTGAATCATGTTTTGTTTACCATGTACATAGTAATTTTCCTTTTGAAACTATTAATTATGTTTATTTTATTAGATTAATGGATTTTCTTTTTTAAAGCCAAGGTTGGTTATCAGTGGCAAGGGCCACTGCAGGGGTCTGATCTCCCCTGCAGGCCAGGCTCTCAGGGGAAGTCCAGGGCAGACAGCAGAAAGCTGGGGGATGGGAAAGCTCTGGGAGGGGCTGCAGAGTACAGAGGGGAAGGGATCAGCAGGGTGAGCCCTGGCCTGGCTGGGCTATGAAGGAAAGTACCTTCCTATCCTCCTGTGTCAGCCTTAGTAGCCAACAGGGTCAAGCGCAAACCCTTTTAGACCCCAATTCATCCCCTGGCTCCAGGCTGTCTGAGTGCTACTAAGTGGCTGATCCTCATGTGCCCAAATAGGGTGTCCCCTCTGCACACCTCACCCCTCCACTCCCTCCCACACCCCCCACCAGAAGCCAAGCTTCCATTAACCAGCAGGTTTGATTATGCAACCCTTGGGAACAGCCACTCCCAGAAATGCCACCCTCCACCCCCAGGCTCCAGCTCCTGCCTGTTGTCCCCCATAGGTCACTGTCAACACTCATCTCCCCACAGGCAGCTGCACACTCCACCTACTCTGGGACAAAACACACAGTTGGGGACAGGAAGGGGGGATGGGTTTTTGAGTAGGGCCTGTCATAGGAAACTAAGCACTACCCACCTGTTTCCATCCCAGGTGAGGAGCAGAAAGAGGCCCAAAGAGAAAATAAGTGCAGGAGAAAGTACAGAAGCTTAATGACCTTCACTCCCTATCTGCCAATTTGTCCCTGACCTCTGGATTGCTTGGAACTGCCCAAGGTCTCACAGTCTTGGCTAGGGCGCTGCTTCTGCCTTTCCCTGGGAGAGCAGCACTCAGTAGTCTGACCAGAAATCTATCCATGACCTCTATGGTTCTAACTCTCCTTTCCCCAATCAATGCAACACACATGAGGCACAAGAAAGGGACACCATCTCTCCAACTCTCCAAACCCTAGTTGCCTGGCCAGTCTCCCCACCAGTGCCCAGGCTTCCCTTCCAGCAAGGGAAAGGAAGCAGGAACCAACCTCCTCGTGGCTGTCAACCAGGCTGCCTTTTCTCCAAGGAACACTCCCTTGCATGATGAAATCCACCACCTTTGAGTTCTGGAACACAGCCCCCACCAAAGCGATGGCCCTGTCCACAGCCACCACCATCCTGAAGAGAGCTTCAAGTTTGGCACCATGCTGGGCACCATCCTGTCGCACAGCCTTCACCAGCTCTAGGACCTCAGTCCACCCAGCCTGTGTGTCAGCTGGAGGGGCACTATCAGCCGCCCCTGGGCCCAACCCTTGGAAGGCCTCCAGCCGGTGCAGGCCTTGCTCTAGGTGGCCCATGCCTTGGCACACACACTGTAGCTTCTCTGTGACATCTTCTTGGAAATGCAGGAGTTTGTCAACCTTCTCATTCAGCATGTTAAGCTTTTTGTCCATGGTGGTTAAGCAGGCCTTGCCCAACACTGGTAGACCCCGGGGTTCCAAACTCTCCTTGGAGGCTCCTGACATCCCAACTCAGGCTTGACAAGGGCAAGGATGAGGAAATGGAAGGGCCACAGACCTCTAGTTCTCACTTCAGCAGTAGTTTCTGGAAGTTCATTGTCCTTGGTAGCTGACAGCCTTGCCCTGTAGCACCAACCTGCTTGGACTGCCTGGGCTGTTTGGGGAGCCCAGAAGACCAGGTTTTCTCTGTGCTTTTGCCTTGCTTATCTCCCTCTCAGCCATGGGCTGTGACAGGCTGAGTTTGGCACAGGCCTTTCTCCTTGGGGCCCCTTTGACATCATGGCAGTGTTTAACATTCCTCTCTGAGAGGCTGCTGACGGGCAAATATTTTAAGAATCTGCCCAGAGCAGGCAGGGTTTTGTGTAACTGAAGCTAAAGACTGAAAGGATCCTTTAGGTAATGTACCTGTCAGATGAACTTGACAAGAGAGCTTTAGGGATTCCAGGCACTGAGGAGATGTGGTCCCACCTGCCACACATATATCTAACTCACAGTAAAAAGCAAGATCAAAACAGAAAGAAATCTGAGACCATTCAAGCAAGTTCTGACTTTTACCATGATGAAAATTTTGATGATTTTGCAAATTAAAAACATATTTTTGGTGTTCCTACTTCACTAATGCCTAAAACGTACTTAGACTGCTCGTAGGATGAATTTGCAGGTTCCTCCTTACATGGGGCTCTCAGTCACTAGTCATTTGTATCTAAAAATAGAAGTGAGGGAAAATGGCCTCGGCTCCTCACCCAAGTGCAAACCTATAGGTTGTGTTCCTCAGGTGACATTTATCAGTGATCTCCCTGACATCCCAATAAAAACGATGTGGTACCAGGTACCAATGTCTAATTGACAAAGATTCAGTAGGGCCCTATAGAGCAATGAGGACTATGTTCCCTCTGGTTTCCACATCTTTTAGCCTCAGAAACCCTTGGTTTGAATGAAATTTTTGCAGAAGCATCAACAAATAAAGCAGACACGTAGAGTTGCTCAGGATGTCACTGAGATAGGGCACAAGGTACCAATTCACTATCTAAAGGACACCACAGAGGAGTCTTGAGTTACACCTTTTTCATCTAGAGAGGGAAATGTGTACAAGGTCACCCAAGCACAAGGCCTCCTTGAGCATAGGTCAGCCATGGTCAGTGAAGCACCAAGGGAGAGAGGGGCTTTAGTGTTCCTCACAACTTCCCGCTCTTGAATAAAAGCCAAGATGATATACTCTGACCTGGAAATGTGATTTACAAAAGCACCATGAGATGATTTTGCTATTTTAAGCCACAAGTTACCTATCAATACCATGTTCTTGCTATAAAGATGCAGCTTGACCACAACTCCCTCTCTATTCATCCTTCTCCTCAGATAACTGCCTGGAAGCAGCCTACACAGAAGTCCAAATCCATTTCTGGGGGCAGACCTCAATGTCATTTGTGGAATGACTCTGGAGCACACTCAAAAGAGTGTTGGTCTGCTCTATCTGCTGTGATTAAAAACACACACACAGCCAAGTGTGATGGCTTAATCCCAGTGACTCAAGCAATTTAATGAGAACTGGTCTCAATTTTTAAAAGTAAATAAAAAGGGCTGAGGATGTGGCTTCGTGGTAAAGCACCCCTAAGTTCAATCCCTAGTACCAAAAATAATAATAATAATTTAAAAAAACATAAACAAAGTGTCCTTGAAAAATGAAATTTGGAGAATACCGTGCTCTAGCCCCTCTAAGACCTCTGTTTCCAGAGAAAAGACATCGGTATTGGACCAAGGACCACTCTTTTCCTCAATAATTTAGACTTACTACTTCGCTGTGGAACCAGTGTTCTCTAAATCAAACTTTGGGAAATGGCTGCCTAAAGAAATCTTTGGAAGTCCATCTCCCCAGGCCTCCCCATTGCTTCTTTCTAAGTTGGTGACACTAATTTTTGTGAAATAAAGTTCTCACCAGTCTGCACAGAGAGTTTCCGCCAACACATACCACAGGCTGCTGCATCATTATCTCTGCTTTGGAAATCTTTGGAATAACCTGCAAGTCCAGGGTTAATAAAACCCTGGAAAGATGAAACCAAACAATCCCAAAGGAAACAAGCAAATGTGATCGATAGATAGATAGATAGATAGATAGATAGATATCATTCAAGTTACAAAAGAATTCACCCCAGGTCTCCCATAAGCAGCAGTTTTACATAGTAGTTTATTTACTAGAAAGGGGCCTCAGCCATCATCCACTGTTCCAGACCACCTTGAAGCTCCCTGAGGGCAGAATGGCACTTCTTCAGCTTGCCTTGTATCCTCAGACATGCCAGTGTGCCTGATGTATGGCAGGTATTCAATACAACTGTAAAGAAGGAATGAATTAACAAGGCCACAGCAGGAAGCACCAGGTTTAGCTGACCATGGGAGATTTCTGTGGGAGTGGGCAGCAACTGGACTTTGCTAGAACAAACAAAAGAAGTACTTGGCAGGGTACCCTGGCAATTCCCAGAAGCAAGCTCTGGGACCTTCTGGGAGGAAGCTTAAAATACACCAACAGAAGCTCTTAAGCCCTCTTTGATGAGAAGGAGTAGCCAAGACAACCAGCTCTGAATCCCTTTCAGAGCTCAGCCTACAAGGAGAAATGAGTGTGTGCACATTGAGTTCCCTGAGGGCTAAAGCACAGCTTCTTTCCAACTCTCACTGATGTATAGGACACACCAAGTACTCCACAATGGTACCTGCCTGGATAACAGAGGGATTCTACCCTCTAGGCAAGAGAAAGACCAGAGAAGAGGCAACCGTGCTGGATTTATACAGAGTATCAAATCCACTAACACTTAGTCCCTCCAGGGTGAAGGCAGGCCTGCTGATCCACTCCTGGAAAAAAGGCTGACCTCTTCTTGCCCCAGGGTTGGGTTAGTGTGAACCCCAAGATTCTTCCCTGCTCTTTTGTTGACCTATCTTGAGGCTGCAGAAGTGAAAGACAGTGCAACATTTTCATTTTAAAGTGATATTAAGACTGACTCGGGTAAAAGACTGATTTCCCATATTTATCTCCTTCCCTTGAAGAGATCTGATTTAAGTGGTAGTAAAGTAAGACAATAAATACAGATCCCCAGTGAGAAAGAATGGAAGCGGAGCTCTTGTTGAATGAGTGTTATTTGTGAATTTCTGGAAGATGGAAAGCTTTTAGGGGAGAGGTAACTGGAAAAACCAGAAAAAGAAAATCACAGCCTCACTGGGCACATGGCAAAAACAGACAAATGTAGAGCCAGCTTGCCATGTAAAACCCCAGAGAAGTCTGTGAACTTTGAGAACCCGGGTGGAGTAAACAGGAGCAAAAATGCAACTCTGAGACATATTCCTCTAGTCCCTTCCTCCTTCCCAACTCCTCTGTACAGAAGGGGCATTGCCAGGAATCACTCCCACCCACCCCACTCCCCCTGAGGACCAGACTCTGTTTCTGGAGGAGCTCAGTGGCCCAATGTACAATACCTGTATGAACTAGCACTGGGGGGTCCCTCTGGAGTTCCCTACTTGACCAAGCTCAATAGAGCCAAGCAATCAACAAGCCTCAACTACCCATCCAGTTTTTAGTACCTTATTCTGAAATATGCACAGATAAAAAAAATCACAATTATTAAAAGAAAGACACCAAGATGTAAGATTCCAAGACAAGTAAACAGAACCATAATCCTGGAGGAAACAAAAAAAATGAGAAATAGAAGTTTCAAAAAGGTCATCATTTATAGTTACAGAAAAATATGAAAGGCTATTCCATCCAGTAAAAGAGGATGCTATGGGGGCTGGGGATGTAGCTCAAGCAGTAGCGTGCTCGCCTGGCATGCGTGCAGCCTGGGTTCGATCTTCAGCACCACATACAAACAAATGTGTTGTATCCACCCAAAAACTAAAAATAAATATTGAAAATATTAAAAAAAAAAAAAAAGAGGATGCTATGGGGGGGTGTGGCTCAGTGGTAGAGCACTCACACAAAAGAACACTGGGTTTGAATATCAGCACCACATAAAAATAAACAAATAAAATAAAGATATTGTGTCCATCTATAATAATTTTTTTTAAATATTAAAAAAGAGGATGCTACAGAAGAAAGAAGAACCATGTAATGAATATAAGAGAAGTCTTGGAAATTAAATATGAGTCATAAATCCCAAATATGGATTGGGAAATAACCTAATATCCTAGAAAATAGAACAAAAAGTTAAGATATAAACATAAGAAAATATGTTAGACTATGAATCCAGCTGGTCTCACTTCTAATTAGTTAGAGTTTCAGGAATAAAAATAAGAGAGAGGAGGAGGGCATTTATCAAGGAGATACTACAGTAATTTTAGAATAAGGGATAAAGAAAAGATTATAAAAACTTCCCTAAAACTAATACAAAAGAACTGAAATCAGAATAATATCAGACTTCGTATCAAAATATTTCTCCTCTGAATTTTAAAGACATTGCACCACTGTCAGAGGACAGAATGATTTGACAAGATGCATAAAAATGCTGGGCATGCCTGTAATCCTAGCAACTCAGGAGACTGAGACAGGAAGATCGCAAGTTTGAGGCCAGCCTCAGCAAATGAGCAAGGCCCTTCACAACTTAGTGAGATCCTGCCAAAAAGTAAAAAAGGCCTGGAGATGTAGCAACCCTGGGTTAAACTCCCAGTAAAAAGAAAAAAAAAAAAAGGCATAAAAAATGTGACTTTTTCTTTCTTCTTCTTCTTTTTAATGCACCCTAAGGAAGCTGCTTTGAGGATGTGCTCCAGCAAAAGAAGGAAGTAAGAAAAAAATCAGTATACAATATAACTAAAGATATATGTAGTAAATGTTAAGATCAAGGAGCTTAGAATAAGACTGTCTGAATTTAACTCCTGCCCCTGCCTCACTAGAATTATGACCAGGATTTACTTAACTTCTTCCAAGTCTGCTCTTCCTATTCTGTAACATGAAAATAATAATGATAAATACACTTCACAGAGTTGGCAAGAGAGTTACATGAGAATGCTTGTAAAGGCACCTAGGCCATCAGCATGGTGATGGCAGAAAGGGCAAAGAGGAATATAAGGAATTAGAAACTCCAAGAAAATCAGAGTTTTTACAAGAGAAAATAAGATTAAAGCACAATAATTCATTTCGCAATGAA